GAGAAAAGGAACTGACCTGGAAAGAAAGAAGAACGGGTTGGGAAGCAGCGGAATTGCAGACGGATAATGGTGAAGAAGGCGAAGGGAAAAGATGGCGTCTAGCGGCGGTTTTTTAACTGACAGCAGGGAGGCGAATCGGCGGGCCATGATTACCTATTTGTGGAGATCGTGCCCAGACGTCACGCGGAACCCAAGGAACGGCCCGGATTCCCGCTAGAGCGCCCACGTGGACTTTGCAAACTCCCCATTCTTCCACTTGGCCCAGCTGAAGAATGAGGAGTTGGGGGGCTTATGATGGGCCGATACCCAGTGGGCGGCCCAACTGAACCATTTACACTACTTCGGGTCAGACACTCGGAAAATACTCAGGTCTGGGCCGGCCCATGGAGCCAGGCCCGGTTGACTTTAGACCAAATGTAGCTGGCAGAGCCGGTCCGGAGAAGGAGACGGAGCAAATTGGCCGTTACAGAGCCGGAAAAAGGGGATCGCGCCCTTAACGGGATAGACTCCATCGATTATGCGTTACCCTTAAGCGCATATAGCTCATGTATAAATAGATGAGACCCAAAAGGAGGAAATTCAAGCTAGATCAAGCTAATAATACATACCCAATTCTCGAATTCTCGTTCTTAATTTTGTTCTTACGATCCGCTTCGTGAATCGGATCATTTGGTGGATTTATTGTCCATCAATATATATATATATATATATATAATATTAAAGAGACTTTTATTGCATAATGGATAAAGAGAAACAAATACAGCAATGTGGGAGAAGGTTCTGCCCACCGAACAAAGATTACAAAATGTATTACAGGAGTAAGTTAGATGGCTTGCGTAGGTTGGAGCGTAGACCCAAGGATTTGAGATTGTCATCAAGGATCATCCATTGTTTTTCTTTGTGAGTCCAGATCCACTCTTGTATAGTTTTCATGATTGAAGTGATGATGGAGCATTCGTGGAAAGCCTTCTGTTCGTAGATCTCAGCATTGTAGGCTTTCCATAATCCCCATGCAATCATCCCCGGAAGTATAGAGTGGATTTTGTCCATAAGCTTTATTTTGCACGTACCAAGCCACCAGTTCATGCATACGTCGTGGATGGTGTCCCCCCTTTGAATGACAGGTCCATCAAATAGAGTAGAAAAGAACCTCCAAATCTTGTGTGAGTGCCTGCACTGGTAAAGAGTGTGGTTCAGGTTTTGGGGCCCATTGTGACAGAAATTACATCTAGATGGAATGGCAAGGTTGAATCTGGCTAGGTTGTCTGGAAAGGGGAGGAGATTGTTGAGAGCTTTCCAAAGCAAAAGTCTGAGTTTAGGAATTTGTAGTTTTGACCAGACCATATCGCACAAGAGAGAAGAGGGCTTAGCATCCCTCCAGGAGTTATAAGAAAGCTTGAGGGAGAATGGTCTCCCCTCCCACATTTCTGTCCCAGAGATGGTATGAACATGTTCAAGTGCCCAGTTGTGTATACGGGCTGCTCTTTTCCATGTGACAGTGTCCGTGTGGTATTCATGAAATGAGTTTGGCCGGTACTTGCTTCTCATATATTCACCCCAAATCCCTTCAGAATTTCTTATCTTCCACCAGATTTTGGACGAGTAAGCAGCTTCAATATCCTCCAAATGCCTAATCCTGAGTCCCCCTTCGCAAGTAGGGAAGCAAACATTTCTCCAGGACATCCAATGATATTTGGGCTTACCATCTTTGTGTCCCCAAAGGAAATTCTGCATCATCTTGTTGAGGATGTTGTGAATTGATTTGGGCATTTGTTGGACTGCAAGAATGTGTAATGGGATAGAGCTTAGTACATGCTTGATGAGGATTAACCTGCCCATTTGGTTAAGGACCTTACTGTGCCAAGTGTTTAGATACCCCTCAAAATGTTGGACAATTCGCTTGCAGTCCTCTTTTTTTAGTTTCCCTTTACCAATCGTAGCTCCTAGGTATTGGAATGGGAGTTTCCCTTCCCTCATTTGCAATGCTCTATGCATATTTAATCTGATGGCCGGCCTAACCTTTGGGTTTGTGTAAAAGAAGCTTTTGTTGAGATTTATGAGATGCCAGAAGCTTTGAGAAAGGTGTGCAACAACCCTTTGAGTCTGATCAAGTACCTGAAATGCCCATTAAGAAAGAAGATTACATCGTCTGCGTAGGCTAGGTGTGATGGGGGTTTAGCTCTACCCGTGTTCATATTTTTGATGTAACCCTCATCCATTTTGCCCTTAATTAGCCTGCTCAGTACTTCGTTGCCAATAATGAAAAGGAGTGGTGAGAGAGGGTCCCCTTGCTTGACCCCTCTACCCATTTTGAAGAAGCCATGTGGAATCCCATTGATGAGTATGGAGAAGTAAGTGGTTTTAAGTGTTGATAGCAGGAGCTGGCAAGATTGGGGGCTGAAACCAAAGGATGTGAGAGTGATCTCAAGAAACTCCCAAGATATCCTGTCAAAAGCCTTTGCAAAATCAACTTTAAGAGCAACATTGGCATTGGTAGTGGAGTTATGTAGGCAATGTATCATCTCTTGAGTAAGAAGAATGTTGTCCTCAATACCGCTTCCAGAAACCACTTTGTTCCGCGCTGATAATTTTAGGCAGAAGTTTTCCCAATCTGTTAGCTAAGATTTTAGTATTTATCTTAGAAAGAGAAGTAGATAGGGAGATGGGCCTAAAATCATTCATGGACTTGGGATCCTCAACCTTTGGAATCAGGGTAAGCAGAGTAGCACCATATGATTTTGTATAGGAAGACCCAAAAAGAGTTTCTGGGAGGCGCGAACAACTTCTGTGTGAATTATATGCCAGAAAGTCCTGAAGAAGAAACCGTTGTATCCATCCGGGCCTGGGGCGCTGTTTGCATTGAGTTCCCAAATAGCTATTTTGACCTCCTCCTCTTGTGGTACAGCACAGAGCATTTGGTTGTCATCATTTATGATTGTGGTGGGGATGTAGGAGAAGATCTCATCCTCAATGGATATGGGTTCTGCTGTATAAATTTTGGAGAAGTAGGATATTGCATGGGTGGCAATGCTGTTGATGTTCTCAATGGTCCTGCCTTCATCATCTTTGATGCTAGAGATCCTTAGTTTATTGCGCCTGTTTTTAACCACATTATGGAAAAATTTGGTGTTAGCATCACCCTCTTTAATCTATTTGAGCCCCGCCTTCTATTTCCAAAAATCTGTTTCCCTCTTGGATTGTAGGATTAGCTTTGCATTTGCTTTGTTGAACTCTACCAAATTATCTGGGTTGCTGTTTTGTTCGAATTTGTCCAGAGCTGATTTTTCTCTATATTCTGCTTCCCTAAGGTTTTGGAAAACATTCCCAAAGATATCCTTATTCCAAGTGCGAAGAGTTTTCCTCAACTCCTTTAGTTTAGCAGACAGCCCCTTCATGCCATTGTACGTCTTATTGCTTTCCCAAAATGAAGCAATGGTACTTTCAAGGGTGTGATGGGAGCACCACATGTTGAGGAAACGAAAGGGTTTATGGCCCAGGAAATTATCCAAAATACAGTTAAGAAGAAGAGGCCTATGGTCAGAGGCTCCCTTGCTAAGCATTGTCAAGTTAGTGGAGAGAAAAGTATCGATCATAGTTTGATTACCAAGAATATGATCAAGACGTCTCCACACTTTCCCATTACTTCTTTTCCCGCTCCCAGAGTAATGGCCCCCTGAAGGATGGATATAAAGAAGGCTGGAGGATTCTGAACATTCCCTGAAATCATTGATAGATCTGTAGCAAGGTTCAGAGCTGCCCTTATGTTCATCCGGGCTGTGAATGCAGTTAAAGTCCCCTCCAACAATCCAAGGGTCTAATCCAAAATGCCAAGATGATAGGGAAGACCATAGAGGTGACCATTTATATATATATATATATATATATATATATATATATATATATATATATATATATATATATATATAACGTGTATATATATGTATATATTACTTTATATATATTATATTGTGTACATTTTATTTTGGAGTGTCATTTTAATAATGAAAATAATTATTTTGACAAAAAACTATTTTAAAGTATATTTTATACACTTGTTTTAAGATGTTTTGGGTATTTTATTTTATATCATAAAAATTATTGATGTCCAATAAAATACACTTTGGTAGCATTTTGAAATACATCCCTTAATATAAAATTTGAGAGTTGATACTCTAAGAATGTGACATTTGGCAAAATTGAGGGATGACATGTGGCAGATGTGAGGTGTCACATTTTCAGACTCCGTAGACCATAAATGAACATTACCTATTAAGAGCTTACATAGCTTTCCCGAAGAAGCTATCTCAGCATCCCAAATTAACCAAAAAATGGAGCTTCCCTTCTCAATTGGATTCACAAAAAGCCATAATTGCTTCAGATTAAGAAGCGAAATTCGTTCTACTTGATTAATCTTTTCAAGGTAATCTTTCCCTCCTAAAAATTTATTGAACGATTTAAATTCATAACATCTCATTCATCTTAATTTCTCCTGATCTTTAGGGTTTTTATTTGTATTCCTATTGATTTGATAAAAAAAGATACACTTCAAATTAGCATCCAATCCCATAATTTCTTTTCCATGTTTGTGTTTTCCCCAAATTTGAATGCACTTCTTTCCCTAAATTAACATGTAATTCCATGTTTGAAATCGGTTGGTTTTTAATTCCTAAATTCATATGTAATTTCCATAGTAATAATAATATTTTGTACATATTTGTTCTCAATTATAGTTTTGATGACTACTCAGTAAAAAAAGTTTTTGATTTTCCCTGAATTCTTAGGGTTCTTATTTGGTATTTCTATTAATTTGATTTAACAGAATATGCTTGAAATTAGCGTCAAAATTCCATAATTTCCTTGCCCTGTTTGTGTTTTCCCCAAAATTTGAATGCAATTCCTTTCTTCCATAATTTCCTTGCCCTCTTTGTGTTTTCCCCAAAATTTAAATGCAATTCCTTTCCTAAAATAGCATGCATTTCGTCATTTTCTTTTATTAGTGGCATTCTTACATGAATGAGATTGAGTTTCAAAATCTCTTCAAATTAAGCCGTTTATTTTAGTGAGTATTGCTTTTTCTATACTGGAAGTTTAAATAACTCATATTTCTCGATTCATTCTTAAGGCTGGTCATATAAAAATGTTAGTCATTCATTTTCATATATAAGAATTTCCAATTCCCAAATCTTATTACTATTTTTTAGGGTGTTTGTGTTCTCACTAACTCACTATTTCCCTTTATTTAACAAAAGAAGTTTTCTCAAAGATACCCTAAATATTGTTGGAGACGAGTTTTATATTTGCCAAAGGTAGTCTGCTGTATCACTATGAGTGATTGACGCCCCTTTAGAATTCTCTCTTCCCCAGCATATGTAGCCTCAATCTCAGGTCAGTTTCTTCCCGTCTATTTGTTCTTAAGGCCAAATTAGCAATAATTGGTTATTTGAGTTCTCAAAGGCTTACTATTTAAATACTTATAGGGCTAATAATTGGTTCCATGCCTGAATAGGATTTTTGACGTTATTGCACACCCTCACTAAGGTATGTCTATTATATATATATAAGAAGTATTTTAATAAGTGCTTATTTGCTTAGGTATTTTTCCCAAATTTCTAAGTCTATATAAAGCATGAAAACTACTCTCATTTTTGTGTTTATTAGAATTTTAGATTTCTAAATTTTCAATTCAGATTCAAGAAAGAGGATAAATTGAAAAACAAATTAAACTATGTTTTATAGCATGATGTATGTTTTATAGCATGAAGTTAGATCCCACTTGATCAATTCTAAAACATTAATCGTCAACTATAAGTTGCTAAACATGAAAAAATAAGAAAGGTTTTTATTTCCATTTGGTTTTTATTTCCATTTGGTTTCATGAGATGTAAGCCTTGATTGATATGCTCTTACCATAGAAGGGGAATGGAACAAAATCAGATATAGGTAAAGACAATGGTGAAGGGGATTCCCATCAAGGGACAACAAGGAATATGAAATTTTATCTCGATGCTGTTGCTCGCATACTCCAGGTTAGTTACCTTTATCATATTATATACTACGGTTACATACCAATGTCATTTAATTAGTAATATTAAGAACACGTGTAAGAAAATGTATAAACACCCAAGTGATGTTTGATGCCTCTAACTCCAGTGTTCATATTCTGATTTCATTGCCTCCTTGAATGTGTAAGTCATTTCTTTCATATTAATTTGACTAATAAAAATATCTATTTTGTTCACCATCCACCTGCACTTTTGCACACACTTAGTATATAATTACATATGTATCTGCTATTTTTTAAAATAACAATTTTACAAGTCCATCATATGCTTTGAAGTGTTTGTAAAGTATCATGCTATACACTACTACTCCAACGATTGGGCATTCACAAGTGATTGGCTTTAGAACATGTGCAGGTTGTTTATAATGACTACATACATACAATCAAGTTTCTCATTGTCCATATGCACTGGCGATGTTCTCTCATGAAATTCCCATACTCTATAATTAGGTTCTTAATGTTGGAAGGTGTTATGGTATTCATAAGAAATTGATGTTGAGTATTGTGATCTGATTTCTACTTTTATTGTTACTTGAATACAATTGGTGGAAGCAAAAACCTCTCTTATGTTGCTAGAGTAGTTTTAATCTACTTGATGCTCCTTGGTACTCTATACATCTTGGTCTTCTACTTTATAATTACAAAATTCCTGTGTAGCTATATATATATATATATGTATGTATATATATATGTATGTATGTATATATATATATATATATGTATGTATATATGTATATATATATATATGGGATTGACTCCAGTCAGATGACATGTTTCGGTCAGATGACACTTTCGGTCAGATGACGATGAATGCTCATTCTGAATCAATGTAGCGCTCATTCTAAAACAACGTAGGATTCATTCTCACACAACTATTCATGACAATGTAGTGTTCATTCATAGCCAGCGAGACGACAACATAGGGTTCATTTTGAATCCACGTAGTGTTCATTCTAAAACATCGTAGGGTTGACTTTCACACATTTGTTCATTATAAACGTAGTACTCATTCTGAAACAACCTAGTACTAATTCACAGTCTACTCAGTGTAGTGTTCATTCTGAAATAAGGCGGTGCTCATTCTCAAACAAGGTGGTGCTCATTCTGAAGCATGTCATCTGACCGAAAGTGCCATCTGACCGAAAGATGTCATCTGACTGGAGTCAATCCATATATATATATATATATATATATATATATATATATATATTAATTTGACTAATAAAAATATCCATTTTGTTCACCATCCACCTGCACTTTTGCACACACTTAGTAATTACATATGTATCTGCTATTTTTTAAAATAACAATTTTACAAGTCCATCATATGCTTTGAATTTTTTAAACTCATCAATGGTACATTTCTATAGAGTTCTTGAACTGTTTGTAAAGTATCATGCTATACACTACTACTCCAACGATTGGGCATTCACAACAAATCACTAGTGATTGGCTTTAGAACATGTGCAGGTTGTTTGTAATGACTACATACATACAATCAAGTTTCTCATTGTCCATATGCACTGGCGATGTTCTCTCCTAAAATTCTCATACTCTATAATTAGGTTCTTAATGTTGGAAGGTGTTATGGTATTCATAAGAAATTGATGTTGAGTGTTGTGATCTGATTTCTACTTTTATTGTTACTTGAATACAATTGGTGGAAGTAAATACCTCTCTTATGTTGCTAGAGTTGTTTTAATCTACTTGATGCTCCTTGGTGCTCTATACATCTTGGTCTTCTACTTTATTATTACAAAATTCCTATGTAGCTATATAAATATAAATATAAATATAAATATAAATATAAATATAAATATAAATATAAATATAAATATAAATATAAATATAAATATAAATATAAATATAAATATAAATATAAATATAAATATAAATATAAATATAAATATATATAAATATAAATATATATATATATATATATATATATATATATATATATATATATGTATGTATGTATGTATGTATGTATGTATATATACACAAACACACACATATATATATATAAGCATTCTAAAATTTTAACATTTTACTTTTTATTTTCATTACTCATTTGATAAAATAATATACTCATGTCTTCTATATTTTTTAAAACTTTTGATGCAGTTTTAAATATAAAAGTTTTATTTTTAAACTTTACACTTAATCAAGCAAATTGAATTTAATATAACTTAAAAAAACAAATTGAAGTTATATTAGATTAGTCATTTTTAAGCTAAATTCAATTCAGTTATGTAAACATTTTTTGTTGAATTACAACATTATTTTTGCTAAAGAAATTCTCATAAAAAAGAATATATTAATAATTTTAAAAACATTCATATTTTACTTAACAAATTTTATATCAGTGTTAGTGTCTTTTAT